AGGTCTTGTTAAAAGGGTCAAGCTTCAGAGGAAAAGCACAAGTCATGAAAACAGATCACTGGAGGAACGTATGTAAGTACTCCAAGCAATGAAAGAGAATGATGCTCTCTCTTGCTAGTGGTAAATGTCAAAGAAAAAAAATCAGCATCACTGTGGAAGTTATTTCTCTTGGATAAAAGAGCAGCAAAGCAGCTAAATGCCTGTTCAGAAAGGAGCAGGAACATAGAGCTGCTTTTTTTCACCTTTAAATAGCAATTTTAGTTCTTCTGCACAGGTTTCTATAGACCAGCACAAAAATATTGTTACTCTTCACACTCCATACAGAAGCAACTTTTGACTTCTGATCTCCACTCTGTAACTTAGTAATTTTTGTTCTCAAAAAAAGTGTGGGAACATGCATCAACTTCCCTACATACACTTCGCTAGCTGAATAACACCGTCTGCTAAAATCCAGGAAAAATAAGCCAAAGAAATCTCTGCATTGTTATGACACATAACTAAAAAATAACAAAACCTGTTTTCTTGTCATCTTATGTATTTTTTTACATTGCTCATTAGAAATTAATGGTATTAATGCCATAAATTCCAGAGCCCGAGGCTAATCTAGTTGCATAAATATATGATGATTGCTATTTTAGAACTTTTACTGAATTCTGGTGTAGGAATGGCAGATATTATCCAATTTTTTTATGATCATATTGATGGTCAATATAAAAAATATTTGATAACATTGTTCTTGAACTTTTTAAAAGTGATTATTGTTCTTGCTCAGATGTAAATGCATTTATAGCCAAAGGAATCAGTGAACATATGTAAAGGGCACATGGCAGAACTCTTTACTCTGAAAATTCATCCCTGTTTCTGCCAGCAGTATTAAGAGAATGCTGCCACCATTTTCTGCTTCTATATCATTGGGAGACCTCCCAGTCTCAGTGAGGTTGTGATGACCCCAGGAACTGAAATTGTTTGCTTTCATGCATTCATTTTGATGCTGGATTGATTTATTTTCATGTGAAACTACAGTAGTTATATGTTTGAGTTGCATAAATCTGGAAGCCACGTATATTTTCATTTATACATAATCACATTTTAATAACAACTATGATAGGTATGTATGTGAGATTGGTAAGTGTGGTATTTTGCAGTGTCATCTTTCTGAAGATGTATTTTCTTGTTAAATTATTTCATTTCTATCAAGCCCTCTGAGCTTACTGTGACCTCACTTTCAGGCAGTCAGCAAAAACAATAAACAAAGAAGCTTTGCACAGCAGATTTCCCTTTTCACTTAGCTGCTTACAAAGCCATCATTCAAAGATTGTTTTGGGAACATTTGTCTGACTCACTAAAATTGAAAGGAGGATTACTCAGGAACAGGAGAGAGGAGGAACAGCACAACATGCAGGGAAGAGATGGAGTGGCTTCTGAGACACATCAGTGCCTAGCTCATAGTGTTGTCTGCAGAGCAACAAACTGGCATTATTTAAAGAATTAACCCCAAAATTTAAGAAGACTGATGGTATGACTGGGGGTTTGATTAATATAAGTAGGTTTGCTGACAGAATTACAAACTAATCCTCTCAGAAACCATAGCTCTGAAAGCGTTTTACAGAATAAGTAGCATCTTTATCAGTACTTCATAAATAAGGTAACTCTGGCATGAGATAATCAAATCCTTACGTTATTCAGCAGGCCAATGAAAGACTTCAAAATAAAAGTTAAACTCTGTACATCCTGTATCACTGGTGAATTAATGGACTTCCTCCTTTAAAGAGATTAATGTGACATAATGTAGAGAAGTTTAATTAACCTATCTATGGTTGGTTGTTGTTTTGTTTGGTTGGTTTTTGTTTTGTTTTCCTGGGGTACATATTCAAGTATAGATTTAGAAGGGAATCAGGAGTTTTCTCTCTGAAAACAGGCCAAGATTTAGGAACAAAAGACAGTTGAAAGGGGAGTGTGTGTCTGGGAAAGAATTAGAGCTTCCTGTTCTCTGTGGCCATCAGCTGAACAGGCAGGTTGCCAGAACAGGAGCACTGGGTTTGTATTTGGGGGAATGGGATCCAGGTATTCTCTCTTTGAAGCAGAGGCTGTTGAGAATTTGTGCTTTGCAAAGCTGTTGCAAGAACAGCTCCATCTTTCTCCCCCCTGTGATTGAATTACACCTGCAAGCCAGACCTGAGTTCATATGCACACAGAAGCAGAACCCAGTCTTATACACAGAATACCACTAAAATACTTCTGTGAATTACCTTTTAAAACTCACAAACTCTTGACCTGTATCTAATGTGACAGCAAATCCTCTTCAGTTCTTGATAATCCTTTAAACCAATTGTTCTTGTAGAAAAGAGTTCGACAATTATATCAAAGAAATGACCTTTTCTTCACCCATTTTCCCAACCCATTTGTCATTGAGAGCTCTGCAAATCAGGTTGTATCAATCACATTACACTACAATGCATCATACCATGTACTAAGGTATGAATGATGTAAGCTAAGATTAGATGTCATAAGCACACATATTACTAAGATACCTGAGAAGCCAAAAGACCACGTTCTTATATCATATGAAGTGACTTGTTTGGGGAGGTCTGGAGGATTTTCTCTTTGGGGAGAAACCACAAGATAGGATGTGCTTTCTCTACCAGCATTACATCATTACATTTGATTATGTGTCATTTGCTGTGTCATTATGTGTACAGGTGTGACATGAGCAGATTCAACATGTATTCCTCTATAGATATTTGACCAGCCACGGAAAATCACCTCCTGTAAGAGCAGCTGATGGATACCGATCTGAGAAAAACTGAAATGTTGATGTTTGGAAAAGAAAATGTTTCAGAAGTTGTCCCAAAGCTTTCAGATTCTATTTGTTAATCTAGTGCACATGTCTGGGTCTTGTTGGATCCCTCCTAAACTTGGGCATTCACAATCAATCAATCCAAAATGAGCATTTGTCCTTCCACTGTATTAGTTCAACCCTGCCCAAGGACAGATTCCTGTAGCAGTCTCTGTATTTGTCATTGTACCTTTGTGTTCAGATGAAGAAGACACAGCATAACTTCCCTAGTAATAGCAAGCCTGTGCCTGTGCTATATATAAAGATAAGTTAAAGGCATATATATGCCTGTGCTATATATATAGATAAGTTAAAGGCATTCCACACAGCTTGACAATACAATCTAACAACTGCATTCAGTATTCCCATTTAACAGGGAAGTCTAAAAAGGAATGAACTGGACCTAATTTCACCTCTTCACAGGGAGGGAAATGTATGTCATTTATGCTGTCATATAAATGACAATAAAAAATTAAGAATATAAGACTATAAAAAATGTAGCAAAAATTAGTTAAATATTATAAGTACAGAATGTAAATAAACAAATAGAAACCACCTAATTTTTTCTCTGTTTAAACTTTAAAACCAAGTTTATCTTCTGTTGGAAAAATGTCCATTAAAATGGGCTGTAATATTATAAATACATGTATACAAAACTCAATTCATACTCTTTGATGTCTCCCATGAGATTTCTACCTACATAAAATCAAAGTTTAGGTGTGATGGTTTTATTTCTTTGCATAATAAAATCTCTCATGATAATGCCTTATCATGAACCCTACAGGACTTCAGCCCAACAGATCAGGTAAGTCAACACACACCCAAACTTCTGGATTTTCATTCAAAATTATTCTCTGCATTTTTGTAATATATTCAAAAGACAAATGGCTTCAGGTTATTCAAAAGAGCCCAGGACATTTACAAATACTGCAAAGGAAAAATATGCCACTTCTGAAATGAAAATAAATTAGTTCTAGGTACTTAAACCCCTGCACTCACACAGTCAGACCAGGTTTCTTTAGTGGCTTGGACTCAGTTTTCCCATAGCAGAGTCTTGACATCCTGATCCTTAAAATAATTTAATCATAGGGCAATAAAAAAATAACAGCTAGAGCTAGGTGCCTCAGGGGAGAGAACCCCAACAAAGGAAACCCTGGGCTTTTATACCATCACAGTCTTGAAAATTTTACTAGCAGACTTTAAGGTTTAGAGAAGAATTCTCAGGCAAAAAAAGAAAAAAAAAAGAGGCCTACATTACATTTAACAAGGAGGAAAGGAAAAAAACCCCATCTTTTGCAAAAGATGCAGTTCAATAAAAGTCAAATGTCAAATATATGAAGATTGACTGGTAACTGAAAAACAAGTGCTGTGAAGAGAAACCTGCTGTGCAAAGGAGGAAATAGAAAGCACAACTATGACACCTTGACCACGTTTCAGAATAAGTACTCATGAATATATTCACCTACCTGGTGTTATAGCTCATCCAACAGTATATCTGTGTGTGTGAGTAACAGACACAGACATGGATGTATTTTTTCTGTGTGCCAAAACAGTCACACAAAAAAGAAACACCTCAAATCAATCTTCTAAAATTTCACCTTCTGAAAGATTTTGAGTTGGTCACATTCACCTATTAATTCCAGTGTTTAAATAAGGACTTATAGTAAGGATGTTCTTGTATGATATTGTAAATAATGAAAGTTTATAAATATCTTTTGTTTCATTATTCTGTGTCTTCCAGTGACGTTCCAAGGATAAGCCAAATTATGAAAGTGATTGCAGATTGTAAAAAAAGAAATAATTAGCTTTGTAATAGAAAACATTTCTGCAGCTTGTGTAGGTTGTCAGAGCCAATTTTTGCTTCATTAATCGAAGCAGTTATTCAGCATACATTAATTCAGTACCCAGAATTTAGAAGTGGCAAGCAATCAATAAAAAGAAATGAATATTGATATGGCAGGACTTTGGCGATATTGTATTTATAGCGCCCCTGAAGCAAGTTAGATCCTACATTAAAAGATCAATAAACTAATGCAACGGCTAACGCCCTGCATCCAGAAAGTCAGGGTGTCAGGGGAGGAGAGGAAGGAAGCTAAATATTTATTCCTGTGTTTCTGATGAGATTGCAGAACTTGTGTAAGATTGAAAGGAGGACATCGATTACCTTTCCAGTGGAGTCCGAGGCTGCTTTACCCCGTTCAGTCAACACCCGTATATCAGCAAAGGGCCTCCTCTTCCCTCATGTTTCTGTGCTCCCCTAAGTTGTTCTCTGGAAAGGAAAGATAAAACATCCCATTTTTGTTCTGCAATGACACAGCTCTTTGAATGTTATATGCTGCTGAACTCACTACTTTGCTTTCAAAATGCAAGAAAAATGATAATAAAATACCGGGCTGAATGATGTCATACAGAAACTTCAGTAGCAGCTGTCAAAAATCTTGTGGTCAAACTTTTAATCAAATGCTAGATTTTATTTAATAAATATAATGTGTGGATGCACATACACATATAAAATCCTCATATTAATGTAAAATCGTATTTAATAATCAGAATTTAAAGTCAAAGTGTTTGTATTGAGGGATTTTCAACTGTTTTTATTAAAGAACATATGAGAAATAGTTAATGAGTTTTTGCCTTTAAAACATATGACTTGATAATGCAACCTAAAAATAAATATGATTTGACAAAACCTACTTAATTAAAAAAGTCCTACTTCACTTCCAAATAACTTTCTTCACATTTTTCATTAGCTTAAATTTGGCTTGAAAACTGTCAAATCTGATATTTTACTACTGTAATTTATGTATTTTACTGCTGTATGTGAAAAGAGAATGAAAACAATGCAGGAAAAAAGTTAACTATTTTTATAAGATGGATATCCTTCTCAAGCTGTTTTTCAAAATGAGTGTTTCAATAATTTCACCCTCAACAAAACAAACATTCTCCCCAGAGTTTAAACTAGGCTCTTTAAATCAAAGCATTTTCAAACTTTTTTACCGAAAGTATTTCAGCCTTGCCTACCCTACAGATCATTTGTCTTCACTTGAATTTTTATTTTTTATTCTCTTGTTTTGTCTTGAAAACTTGATTTGAAGGTTGACCTGTTCAATAAGGGTGACTTATTAAGATAACAGTCTTTAGCATCATGAGCTGCCTTCCAGTCCACATTGTGAAGCTGGGTGAGAGATTTTAAAAGTGTGTCACTACTCTTAAAGCAAAAAGGTGTCTGTGAGCTGGGGCACAGCTAAACAACTGCTGTGAGAACCTCTCCAATGGACAAGAGCCCTCACTCATCCTGGATTTTCAGGCTGATGTTTGTAGAGAGGAATCCCAAAGGGCCAAGATATACAGGAGGGAAGGTGGATGCCTGCCTTTGACCCTGAAGCATTAAATCTGCAAACCCTTAAGGAAAACACAGATTTGAAGATTTCACTGCACACTTTATTACACACTCAACAGCTTGGATTTTCTGCACCCTCGTGCTGCTTTTTAACTGGGATAGAGTATGCATGGCCTCTTATTATTTTACAGTATAAATTATTATTTGCAAAAACTCTTTTATGGTTTTTCCTGTATATTCTCTGATTGTCAAGACAAGGTATGTACAGACAAACCAGCCATAAGAGAAGGATGGGTGCCAGCTGTCAAAACAAAAACTCCTACTTTTTGAGAGAAGCAGTTTAGACAGCCCATGGGAGAAGAGCTGTACCTTACCTACAAGGAAGGATGGGAGCAGAGCTCTGCAGTGCAACAGGAAAGATCCTTTTCCAGTTCTTTAGTCTCTGAGGTAACAGCAGAAGCACAGAAATTCCACAGAAATTGGTTTTATGCTGCCAGGGTGCCACAGAGCTGTTGCCAGGGACATAAATCTATACCCCAAGGTATAGCATGGTATAGAAAGTATTAAGCAAGATATTGCTATGTAACTAAAAATGACAATAATAGAAATATATATTGTATATGAACTTCTGAGGCGGCCTGGTTAGAAAATCTTAATCATCTCTAGCTACGTTTTGATCTGCCAGTGCTACAGAGTTTAAATAGAATTTTTTAGGTATCTATGATTTGAGATCGCTTTTCATTGCTGGATTTGTTGGGTTTTTTTAAAGAATGAGAATTGAGACCACTGATCTCACCCTCTTGATTTTGAAGCATTGTAATCTGTCTTTAAAAAGGTCAGTTCTGTTTAAATGAAGGCTTTAAATGCATGTCTGAAAATAATGTAATCAAAGGAACAGGAATACAGTCTTTGCTCAAACTTCCAATATTTTGACAAGACATAGGAGCTGATTCTGTTTCTAAATGGTGGTACTGAAATTAAGATTGATGAGTAAGTATTAGAAGAAAATAACTTCAAGTTACCTGCAATAGCATTTAATTGCATCATTTAAATTCTTAAGCATTTCAATTTTATATTCATTCAGGGTTTTGCATAATTAATTTGCAGATTTCCAGAATGCATTAGGATGAAACTTCCAAATGGATGGATGGTTATTAATGGATGATATAAATATATTATTCATTATTTTTGGTTGTCATTGTAAATTGCACTGAGTACTTCTGAATGAATATCAAATTCAACATCATCCCCTGAATTCAAAAGCAAAATGCATCCTCAGTAATAATTTGTTGAAATATAGAATACTTCAGGTGTCATTTCATAATAAGTGCCCTGTAACCAAATGTTAACAATTGTTAATGTCACACTTTCCTTTTCTCAGGAAAATGGCAGGATCACCCAGGCAAAACTGAATTTCAAGTAGTCAACCTTTTCAAAGATGTCAACACTAGGCAGATCTGCTCTAGTTCAGAAATAAATCCTCAAAACTCTGATTACCTAAGCAATACTAACATTTGCAGGGCAACTGAATGCTATGTTAGAGAATAATTTCATTTATACCAAAAAAGTACCAGAGAACATATATAAGAAGATGGCCACAGAGAAATTCCATTAACTAAAGAAGAAAGGGGAAAAAGGTAGGAAAAAAAGGTAGTCTGAGCTAAGGAAAACTCTTTCAAGAGCTCTTTCCAGCAGGTAACACAGATATTCATAAACAATTCTCATCTCTTTTTAATGCTTCACTTCTTACCCTATGTTATTCAGTACTATTCTCCACAAAACAAATGAAGAAATAGCCTTAACAGAAGACTGGAACAATTAAAAAAAGCAATTAAAACCTAAGTTCTCTTTAAACGTAAGAAGAACTGGAAAATGTTTAAAACCATCATATTGACAGTATTTAGTGATGAAGTGATGGGTAGCAGCAACAACAAGACACTCAGTAAGTAGACTCTTATCTAGGGAATGTTTCCAAAAGGGTTGATGACACCACCTGCAAGGGAGAACTACAGTGGGAATACAGTGGCAAAAGTGCCTAGAAAAATCTCAGAGATTTCTACAAAGCTGCTTTTCAATGTAGTTGGTTGCTTACAACTCTTTGTAGTGGGTCTGGCTCGGGTGAAGTTAATTTTCTTCACAGAAGCCTCTGTGGTGCTGTGTTTTGGATTTGGGACTCAAACAGTGCTAACACACCAGTGCTTTGGCTGTGGCTGCAGTGCTTACACAGCAGCAGTTTCTCTCACCTCCTCCCTGCTCAGTGAGTAGGCTGGGATGGCACAGGAAGCTGGGAGGGGACACAGTGGATACAGATGGCCTGAACTGACCTAAGAGACATTCCTTACCTTATGACAGGCTCAAGAAGGAGAGCTTAGGGAACAGAGGAGGAAGTGGAGATGTTCACAGTTATGGTTTTCTGGCACCCCAAGTAATTCCTATGAGCACTGAGGCCCTGCTTTCAATGCAGGAGCTGAGCATCCACCAGCTGATGGGAAGTATTGAATAAATCCCTTATTTTGCTCTGCTTATGCATGAAGCTTTGCCTCACTTACTAAATTGTCTCTACCTTGACCCACGAGTTCTCACTTTTGCTCATCCAATTCTCTCCCTGTCTGGCTGAGGGGGGGGTGAGAGTGACTGGGTGGGGGCTTGGTTGCTGGCCAGGGTCAACCTACTACATTATTTCAACTGGAGATTTAAAAAGAATCTTTCATGTAATGAATGCCCAGGAACAGAAGATGCATCTCTACGGCTGTTGGCAGGAACAAATCAGAGCTGCTGTCCCAAGGATCACGTTGCATAATGATAAGCATTTTGTTTGCTATCTTAATGAAGCAGATCTCTGTTTGCTATTATTGAATGAACACTTCCATTATTAGTACTACTCCCTCAGTAAATTCTAAGCTGGGGTTGAAAAGCCATGATACACACGTGTAATGAGGAAAGAGATCCTTCATAATTACTAACAGTCATGGATGGACTGAATGGTCATCTCAGAAACAGCAGGAGTTTTCTCTGGTTGCCCTTGTTCTGCATAGAATGGCAGAGCTTGGTGTGGACTATGCTATTATCCTAAAAAAATAATCTCTGATTTCATTTTAAGGCCTTTTACATTTGCTTTTTTCACATTCAGCTAAGCATGTTGTATTTGCAACAGATGTCATAATAAAAATTAGGAGAAAGGAAGAAACAGAGCAGTATTAAATCCAAAGTGATTCCCAGAGTGCAAAAAGCCCTTTCAAAAACCCTACTCTTTTTTCTATATTTTTATCTTCACTTAAATAATCCAACATAACGTGGATCCATATAATCTAGTTCAGGTGGAACAAAATCTTGTAGTAATGCTCAGCAAGCATTACTACAGCCTGAAGATCCAGGCCCTGCAGTTACACAGTATTTCTGTGTTTGTTTAAAGGCAAATATACAGAAAGTGCAGAAAATACATCATACTTTAAAATAGTTGATGTTTTCAGGCTTACAATTAAATGACAGCAGGACAATTATCCAAGTGGAAATTATCCCTTCCAGTACAGTAATGCAGAAAAGCAAGACAAGCACAGAAACAGAGTGGCAGCACAAGAAAAATACTGACATGACTTAGTTTTCAAAAGTGCTAATGAGAAAGTAAGAGGCTGATGCTGAACCAGGCTTCATAATCAAAAGTAATTTTCCAACCTTTTCTCTATCCCACAGTCTGTAATGAATGGAGAATTATCCTTGTACTGCTTAGTTTTATGCCCTCATTTTTCTCTTTTAGACTGTGGCCAAATATTTCCATGAGCTGTCACTTCCTAGTTGATTAATCAATCAGGCAGTTTTGCATCTACATAATCAAACTAAGGAGTCCTTCAGAGATTTTCTGTGTGAATCATGGCCTTGGTATTCTGGGGGCAGTGAAAGCCTTTTGCTCATGAGTGGCTTGTACTGCTTTAGCACAACTAAAACCAACATGGTATATATTACATGTCTAGTTTTACTTCTTTACCTCCTTTTTGCACCATCTCCTACACTTTCCATGTCTATACTCCAGCCTTTTAACTGTGTTCATGAGAAGAATTGAAGAAACAACAGGTGTCTCAAACTTTAAAGCTTCTTCTCTATAGGAATAACCAGGATAACCACTGGGCAGTAAAAAAAATTCAGAAGCAGACCCGAAATGTCATTTATCTTACGCGAGTTCTTTTTCGGTTGCACACACTGAACATGTGAGAGCAGAGCATTTTTCACTGAAGAAACCATTTCAAATGTATTCAGTAAAAAAATGTTATATGATTGACTATTAAGTAAATCCCAAAGTGAATTAGGTGATTAATTTTTTACTGTTATTAACCCTAATGACTATGAGCCCATTATACTGACCGGTTTAATCTAAATTTCTTTCTTCTTTCACTTTTAGTAGGTCTGCTTTTTGAAGGCAAATATAAAATATAAATATCAATTTTCTTGTACTTTTAGGCTTTGTTGATGAGCTGTGTACCAGCCTAACAGTGCCAAACTCATTCTTGAGGCACTTGCTGCTGGCTTCCAGCATCTTGGCTACTCATGCAGTGATAATTTCTAATTCCAGCTCCTGAGGATTGATGACATTGCATTGATACAAAGCTAGAGCACCCCAAATCCTGTTCTACCTTGTCCAAACGTGATTTACTGATCCTTTAACTCAAGTTATGAGGTACATACTGAGTTGCCAAGCATGGAATTCTGGCCTACATGAGTGAGGAGGAGGTGGTCTTAGTCATCATTGCTCTCCTGGTCCCTGGTGGGATGAACACTGCCTATGTCAGAACAATGAACTGCATAAATCAGACTGATAAAATAACTTAAAACATATTTTGAGCTCATATCTATGAATTACTGTTATAGCTGAATACAATTAAATTTTACACATCACACATTCTTTAGCTATCTAAAAGTTACCTCCTCTTGGCCTCAGTCTGCGATATCTGGCCGAAAAAAAGTTCCTACAGGTGGATTGGCCCTTAATTTTGAAGATATTTATTGAAGATAGTTATTGCTGCTCCTGGAAATGTGCAGTCCATTACAGCAGGTAATGAAAAAAATCATCTGTCTATGGTGGTAATCTCCAGTGAAAGCAGTCTCACATCAAAGTTCATACTCTCCCACTGGATGCTTTAATGAAAAAAATAAAGCAGCTGGAACGTAATCCCTAAATATTTCTTGATTCTCCAAAATAAAGAAAATCACAGAAGTGAAATGTACTCTAGAGAAGCAGATCACTCCTCTCAGTAAGGATTCTGGTAAAGGACAATTGTGCAGTTTCCATAGGAGGCGGCAGAAGTTTAACTTCCACTTGAATGTTTATGAATTATCAGCCAGAAGTCACATCTTAAGAATCTATTGTTCAATGTGTAGCTGCTGACACCAAGTCAGGTGCTGACAAGGAACTGATTTAAATAACTCAGCCTGACTCTAAATATATATCCAACAGAATCTATACTTTAAAAGTACATAAATTAAAAAAAAATCTATTTTTATGTGAACAGTATAAAATATCACCTATATAAGGTATATATTATGGGGAAAAAAATCATTTTTATAGTTGATACAGACAAACTATTCAATGCTGTCAGTAAAGTGATGAATTTACTGATATCCTGAAACTGTGAAACCTCTCAAGTACAATCATAATGATTGGCTCACAGAGCTCACTTAAAAGCCAAAATATGTTAAGAAGGTACTACAATAAATGCAGAGACTTACCTATCACTTACCTCATGAAAAAAAAAGAAAACCAAAATACTGACTGAGATTATCTGTTCCAGTGTACTCACTCTATTTTTTTCTTAAAATCACAACTAGGTTTTGTACATTGGATTTTGCTCTGAACTGTTTTAAGCCAGTTGATTACCTACAGAACTGGACCTTTTAGATTAAAATAAGAATGAAAGCTGAATGATACAGCTTTAGTCATGGTCATGCTGCCCCTATTTTATTTTTAAGTTTTCCTTCTGTCATGGCCATGTAATTCCCCCCCCCCCCTTTTTTTATTTTCCCTTTAAGTGCCATTGCATCCATCATCCCTGCCTGATCTTCTAGGAACCTTTCAAGCATGGAACTGGAGCCAGGGAGCTGCTAAGGAGCTGAAGCCAATCTAGTTACAGTGAAGAGACAACTGTCTGGCTGCAGATGGACAGAACTGGCCAAGTTCCACCATCTCCACACACAGAATGCTGGAGGGTGAACAGGGAGCTGATTTTAGGGGTGATATTTCTCTGGAAAATAAAGTGGGACTGAAAACTGGACACTGGGAAAGGCAAAATCATGTACATGAAGTTTTGAAAGTGCTGATAGCAGTTTTAGCTGTAAATCACTGCAACAAGTAGGGTTCTAGAAAAGAAGAGTTACCACAAGAACCCAAAACCAAAGGAGTTCCATGTCTGCAGTGCCAAGGATCTCAGCAGCTCTGGAGATAAAAGAACTCTGGAATGCTAATTCTGCCCAGTGAAATTCCCTGTTCCCAGCTTAGTTGCAAAGTGATGAGACAAGAACAGTTTGGGCCAAGAACTACGGTGCACAGAGAAAACCGAGTGAATGCAGAGTAAATTCCAACAGTGCTGTAATTTACATTTTGCTGTGTCTCAGTGCGTTTTGAATGATCTATATAAAACCAAAACATGCCCTCCAAATTAAAATAAAACCCAAACAAGCTGGAAAAGGTACTGAGCAGACAAGGGACAAGTCAGTGGGTCACTACTAAGGAGAAACATGAGACAAAAAAAAAAAAAACTTCCACTGAGCAGAAATGACCAATGGGAATTCTGAATTGAGCCTGTAATGGTTTATGTGTCTATTAAAGGTGTTCAGCACACTTACATTGCAGTACTACTGTTAATCTGCATAGGTAGCAGTGTAGCAATAAAACAGTTGCAGGTTAAGCCTTCATAGAAAACTTACCTCACTAGTACTTCCAAAAAGCTTTTCCAGACTATGACTAAGAACATGGAATTCATGGACAGGATTTTGAAAGAATATTACAAAGTAATAAGGTAAGCAGAGGTAGACTGACTTCACAATGCATTAATTTTGATCAAGTTTTTCTTTTCTGTTTTATTGTGTTCTCGTGAATAAAAAGCAGAATATTAAAGCCAGTTCTCAGTATAGGGCTGTTCTAATGGTTATTCAGAACTTGAGACAATCTTTGGGATTCAAACATAGCAGCTCTATACCTAATATTCAAATGATGAATTCTATAAATGCTCCTCTTTATTTTTGTTTAAAAAAAATAAATAAAAAATGAGTTATTGCTATAGCTACAATCAACTTATGATACCTGAAATACACATTTGTTTAACTTGTGTTCATGTTCAATAAGATGCTCATGGTATTCTGTATTACAAATGTCATGACATTTTTCCCCTTTAACTAAATGAAAATCATACTCTTGGTCAGGTAACTTCTTCTCTGGGAACTGTTCAAATCTAGCAAGAACCTTTGAAAACATGCTGAAATTATTTAGAATGTTAGGTTAGGAACATGGAAGCCAACAAAAAAAAAAAAAAAAGAGCTTTTTCCCCCTCTCACACACACACATAGACCACAGTAAACTTCTTTAAGAGTGAAGAATCACCACAGAGGTTTTAAAACAGGCTTGCTGCTTTAAAGTAGCAGCCTTGCCATCTGTTCTATAGTAATTAGGAATGCAAAGAGAACACATTTCACAGTTACATCAGCACATAGTAAGATTAAACTGTTTAAATGACTAGGTAAAAGCTTCCCATGCTTGTACAACGAGATTTCCAGCTGTACTTCCCCTGTTCATGACATAAATAAGGAAAAATGATACCCTAGATAACATGAAAGTTTTAGAGTTACTAAATACTTCCTTGTATTTGCTGTTATATACAATGATTTGTCAGCTTAAGTCTGCAGTTTGTTCCTTTGAATCTGGACCAAAAACTCAGTGTGAGAGTGAAGAGAGGGTATAAAGAAGAACAGCTTAAATTTATTTAGAATTAGAGAAACATCTTAAGGTAGAAGATCTAATCAATATATCATAACTGCATTAGCTACTGGAAAGGAGTATGAACTACATTTACTGAGATATTACTTTTATTAATAAATCTAACAGGAAATCTAACAGGTGCTGATCATTGCTTGAGTCAGAATATGACATCAAGCTAGTGATAATCACAAATGGAACTATTCTTTCAAAAAGTAAAACTGAATGTACCTGAATCCACAAAAATCACAAATGCAGAATTTAATAGGTGAAATACAGAGAGATTTAAGAAGTAATCAAAAGTAAGAACAGTATTTAAATACATGAAAAACAGTGAGATTGAAATAAAAATGATGCATTTGCCACACTGTGAGAGGAAAATGCGACAAGAATTCCTTTTCTTTTATTAAAGTGGAGATATTGTGAAATTCTGCAACAAAGCAACACTGCCATTAGGCTTCCACAGACTGTTCTTGGTTCAGACTGAAAATGGGAACAACTGTGGTTTAAGTAAGAAGATTTGTAAGCCATTTAAAAGAAAGTTTACAGAATCCTCCAGACTTTTGACTACACAGCAGCCATTAAACATGCAGGAGATGGGTAATAGATGATGTATTTAAAAATGTATTGCTTAAATTACTTAGAAAAGTCAACACTGCATAAACTAGTAATCAGTGTTGGACAGGCTGTGTCAGATTTGAAGTGAGTTGTCAGTTTTCTCTGTTCCCTGTTTCTTCACATTTTTAAAATAGCATTTCATATTTCATAAACATTACTTGCTTTATAGAAAAATCCTCAGAACAAACAGCCACACGCATAACATAAATCAATAATTTCTTTTATAAATTTCATACCCATGCTGCCGCAATAGTTCTCTGTTCTGTTTCTACAATCACCTGTAATAAGTAAAAAGAAGAAATGCAATCACAATTTCTCTATTGGACTTTGCAGAGCCTAAGTTCTGTTGTTGGTGTGTGTAAATATCCCCCAAACTTACTTGGAGAGAGAACCTAGTCATGCAGGCCTAATGAACAGCTAGTCATCAACACCGAACCATTGTTAATTACTCACCTGCTCTGTGTTTAGCTTACAGTAGTTGTGATTTAGCTCAAACATCTTTCAGATGGGAGTGGTGTTTGGGTGAGCAGGCCCAGTGGGGCTGCTCAGCCCTCCTAACTCAGCCCTTCACCAGCAACCTGGTTTTAAACCACTTCTCGTGCTGATATCCACCTTCTAACAAGAACACGGGAAGAGAGCATGGGAAGAGAGTCTCCTTAAATAGTTTGCAAGCAGTGCACATTTTGTGTCTCTCTTAAACAGGACTTCCTGAGGGTGTTTTATTCTCTCAGGTGTGGGGCACTGAGGGAGGCACTTCATGGGAGAGGGGGTCTGGGGTCCCTCAGGGCTGCCCACAAGGCTCTGAGGGGGCTTTTAGACCCAAATTAAAAAGAAACCCCAAATAAAAAAAAAACCCACCAAACAACACACAACAACAAAAGAACATGAGCAATGAAAATGAACTTGCCAAACACAACTGAGCAAGCAATCACCTGGAGGCTTTACCAGTGTCTCCTCACCTGGGTGCTGTTCCTGAGGCAGGTCTGAGGGCAGAAATGTTGCCCACTGCCTCCCCACAGTTTCCTGCCCTTTTGAAGCCTTCTTTCTCACCCTTTTAGAGCCTTCTTTTCCCCCTCACCTCTTCTCGCCCTTTCACAGCCTTCTTTCCCATCCTTTTGGGACTTTCTTTGCCCCTCATGACTCCCTGCCCTTTTTTGAGGTTTTTTTTTTTGCCCCCCTCCCTCGCACTTTCCTGCCCTTTCAGTACCTTCTCTGCCGCTCACACTTTCCCTCCATTTTTAGAGGCTCTTCTTGCCCCGTGTTCCCTCGCAGTCTCCTTCCCTTTCGGAGTCATCTTTGCCCCTCACCGCTTCCTCCCCTTTTAAAGTCTTCTTTGCCCCCGCCCCTCACAGTTTCCCACCCTTTTTGGAGGCTTCGTTACCCCGCTCCCTCAGAGCTGCCCTTGGCTGTGAGGGTACTGTGGGGCTGCCGCTCCTCGGGGCTGCTTGGGGCTCTCCCGGCAGGTTAGTGGGTCTACACTGCCTGGTAACGCTGCGTGGTTGGGAAGGGTTTCCTCCTACCTCTGCCTCAGGGAAGAAGAACTTCGTTTTTCAAGGGGGGAAGCCTTCTTGAGGGGCTGGTTGCGGCCGGTCCGTGCCGCCTCCCCTGCAGGCTGCTTCGCTTTCGGCTCTGGCGCTGACTGAGGTGCAAGGTCACTCCTTTCCCTCTGTTTGTGGTTCTATGTCATCTGAATTTATATCTGAATTTATATCTGAATTTATATCTGAATTTATATCTGAATTTATATCTGAATTTATATCTGAATTTATATCTGAATTTATATCTGAATTTATATCTGAATTTATAGATATAGATAGATATAAATTCAGAAATAGCCCCTGGAGATGATGAAAAGATGCTGCTGAACACTTACAGGCAAGTGGGGGTTAACCCTATTCATTGCTCTCATGCGTGTGGTGTAATTATTTCCCTTATCTTAAATATCCCCCCCCACTCTACTTAATAAACCGACCAGCAGGGTGTTAATAAAAGAAATAGCTATTACTAAAGCATGTTTTTCTTTTAGAAGAAAACAAGTTTCTGATTTTGGTTTTATCAGAACCCAGCACCCCCTTAAGGGAGTGGGGTGGGTCTAAAGCAGCTATTAAAATTATGGTTTGGAAATGAAATTTGATTTAAAAAGCAGCAGCCCCATTGCTTTACAAAGGCATTTCAGTAAAATAGTGCTGTTTCAGGTCATTATTTGAGCTTTGTGTGCTGCTTTATTGAAGATAGCTACTTAAAATATTACAGATATGAAATGGAAAACTGTCGAACCTTTTATTATTGGATATTTGAACAACAAATACAGGCCTCTACAAGATAAAAAATTTGCTTACCCCATTGGTAAATGCTTATTATTTCTGTAGCACACTAATACAATGTTATTTTTATAACTTTTTCTTTTTTTTAACTCCACTCTGTGCTACCTGGAAACTTGAGGAACAGTCATGGTTTTCCCCCTGTCTTCAAGGCTATCCAGCAACCAGTTCCTTGATGATGTATGATGTTCAGTGTTACTAGGCACCAATTTAGAAAATTCTGGAGTTTAATGCCTGGTTTTAAGATTCACTTGTGCAGAAATTTGTGAGGGAGCAAGGTAAATACATATAGTAATTGTGGGGTTTTTTGTCCAGCTGCCATCTGTGTTCTCAGAAAGACCATCTTTGCTGTCCATTAACATAGAAAGGTGAAGACCTTGGAGGTGTGGCTTAATGCATTTTAATGTGTCTTCCACCATTAATAAATTAATGAACTAATAAATTAATTAATAAACTGTTGAAACAGTTGTTTTGGGATGAAACTGCCTAAATCTTTGTCCTGAGTTCCTGGTATTCACACAGCTCTTACTTTCTCTTACTTGTCTCCTGTGTGTGTTGATACAGTCATGTTCACACATACATCCTGAATTACAGGTAGGAACCAGTGTTGCAGGTTTTTCTCCTCAGTTTCAGTCAAGTGTGCAAGACTGTTCTCCTGAAGTGCTACAAAATGAAAGCTCTTTGAAATTTCTGAGAGAATATGATAAAATTGAAATGTTTTGGACAGCGCTATTCCTTCTGACAATTAGAATTAGGCAGAGGAAAGCGTGGTGTGCTTGTTGTGTTTGGGGGTTTTGCCTGTTTGTTTTGAAGTGGGTCTAGAAGTGTGAATTGATGCTCATTCACACAACTAATAATTAATAAAATAGTATTATTAGCATTAATGACTTCTAACACCATATGTGCATCTGTGAATGGTTCTTATGACATCAACTAGAAAACCCTCAATGTTAATACTTGTATTACATTGGTATTATAGGATTATGTTTCCTTATGAACATAGGGAAGCTGCCAATATTTGACAATATTTGTATTTTGTTATGATTAGATCAAGGTTTTAGCACAAAACTCAGTAAATGTTGCCAAGATATTTGGCTCCTATGATAGACTAGTATCTTTCAGCTTTTCCATATGCAGCCATTTTAACAAATGGGTTTAATTAGCGATAATGAAAGTGAGGCAAATTAGAATGCTCAGTTACTTGCTAGAAATATTTGTTTTGTTTTAGTGGAACTATGAATCTATGTGAAAAGTAGTGATACATACTTTTTCATTTCAGAGTGTTGTCAAACAGCTCAGTTGGCTTTTGAGGAGAATCCTGCTGTGTGCATATTCAAACCACCTATTCCAACCTTTGCTGGCCTGCAGTTTTCAGAAAAGCACCCAAAATAGTAAGTTTGTCTCATAAAATTCAGAATAGCTGAGGCTTGACCCCTGTGCTTTAGTAAGAGTGTGTCCTGTGTTTGCTTCCTTGCTTTATTCATGTTGTGATTTTGTGTGTATAACAGCAATAAATTCACAGTGCTACTGCAAAACTTCTCCAGAGGATACCAACTTCACCATTTTCAGGTAAATTCTTGGAAGGAGAGAATTGTTGTGGATTTGTTTTTTTTTTTTTTGATTGCTCAGTTCTATTGGTAATAAATTAAAAAATTGCTGTTGTTGGATACTGTTACTGCCATTACTGTTACAATGTTACTGATGTGTCAAGGAGTGTTTCTATGACCAACAGGTAAATGTAACTTGTATATAGGTGTAAATCTAGAGATATGGGTAGACAATCAAGATACTCTAAATTTTATGTGCTTACAGTTTGTAAACACTTAAATAGTTCCTATAACCATGTTTTTACTTGCCTATGGCTACTTGGAACTTGCTGGAAATGGCAGAGTATAAGCATGGATAATCACAGCAAGGCCACCATATTAAAGGCTCTTCTGCAGCTCATTCAGCAGTTATTTGATTGTGTATTCTCTGCATAAATATGCCAGATTTTGGTACCCAAACTGGGTATTTAACTACAGAGTATGGGTCTGAAACTTTTATGGAGAATGAGAGATTTCCCTGTACTGGTTGTGTGACTGAATGCAGCCAACATATTGTGCTTGGTAAGATTTGCCTCATGATTGTGCATCTTAGAAAGAAAATATGCTATTGTAAGACTTGCAAGTCTTTCTAAATCCTAATCTTATTAATGAATAGTGGATACTTTATTTACCCATTTATGTCTCACTCTAAATCATTTTAAAATTGTTCAGGTGCATTTAGGCAAATCCAGACCTCTCTAGTTGATCTAGTAGAGAAATAGAGACCAATAAGTCAGTAATGGAAATTAATTCATTTTCTAAGTTTAATACATTTCAGCAGAACTACATTACATCATCCTGATTTGTGATGACTGGTTTTTAAGTCTGAAGTAGGCCAGGAAGAGGATATAATCTTTCATGCTTACAATTCTGTTCTGTATTGATATTCTTTAAAGCTAAATATTCATTAAAGCTCCAAATTGAAAAGAATGCAGATATTTTGTCTGTTTAGCCATTTTTGAGACAGAAGAGAAGACAGAAGAAGTTGAACATTAAGGTAGTGTTTATTTCATACTTTTCAACAGGTAGATAAGCTTTTTCACATTGATATTGGAAAGAAACTTGCTTTGGTGGATATGATCTATATTGAGCAAATACAAAAGAAAATAATCTCTTTGCCAAGAGAATAAATTACATGGCAGAAACTGAATCAGCTCATTGTATTTTTCTTCTCCTAGCTGATGGATGCCTGACAGGACCTATATTCTCTCTTGCCCACGACTGAAAAGCAAAAAAAAAAAAAAATAATTTCTTTTCTTTCACAGCAAATATTTATTAAGATTATTCTTGTTATTTTATTACCTTATCTGAGCTGTGCTGTTTTTATTACCTTTTCCCTACTGCAACCATCTTTCTGCAGTCCAGTTTAGCTGCTTTGGCTGAGCAAGGCAGGGAGGAAAAGGAAGCAGGGACTCTTAATACTTCCCTCATGCAACTCCAGTGGGGAATGTCTTTGCTATCCAACTTAGGTCACTGTGTTGGACAGAGAAAATGGGTACAGATCCTGCAGCTGTGTGCACACAGAAGTGTTCATGCCTGAGTAACTTGGCCTCAATCCTCTTGTCCTCACAAGTTCAAAGTAAAAGCTGGTCTGTGTAGATGCCAGAGATGGGTAAAGTTGTGTGAACAAAGGCCATGTCTGGGGAAAAACAAGAGGAGAAAGAAAGGAACCGTGAGATAAAAGCTAGATTTAATTTCCTGACATGCTTTCTTCTGAATATACATCACTTCAATTTTCTTCCTCTTGAGAATGTGAAGGTACAATGCCTTTGTGTTTGTTTCCACTAGGAGTTAAAAACACTGGCTTTGATTGATGGAAATTCCCTTTTTTATTACTAAGTTTTTCCAGTAACCCTACCTACAAGGATTAAGCAGCAGTAATACTGAGTGGTGTCCTTGCCTTGAGTCTGCTTCCACTCCTCCACACAGAACTGATGTCCTGCCTTTACTCTTAGTACACGGTTTTGTTCTAGTGTTTCATGACTGGAAGAACACAGGGAGGAAGGTTTTGAAGGTCAAATGATAGAAAAATCACATAGTTCATCAATAGCATGCATATAATCTTGGGATCTGTAAACTTAACTATGCTGAGTTTTCATTTCTTAAAAAATTTTATGACTCAAATGTTTATTCCTTAAGAGACTTATACATTTCTTGTTGAAGAATGAAAATAACGTTCACAGACTTTTCTCAAATTCAAAGTGTGCTCTCCTCACAGATGGCAAGTATTCAAGGTCTAAATTCCTATAAATGTGATAGTCTGTATCATCTTTTATGTTTACCCAGGAATATGAAAGAGTTGCATAAAATAAAAACAATAAAATATATTGTTCATCTCTTCTTGTCTATACTGTGGGGCTAGGCTAGTCAGTCACACTGTAATTATCTCATGCATAAAAATCTTGTTTTCAGATAATTACCCAGTTTTTCAACCCCAGCATAATGCATAAGACTATCACGATTAAATTATAGGACTAGATTAAATGTGAAATGCAAACTTTTAAAGGAATTGGCTGGCTCTGTACAGGGGCATTCTTTTATTAATCTGAAAGCATAATAAACCTTTAACTTCCACAGTACAAGTGCATCTGCATAATTGCTTACTGCTGTTGGGTATTTTTCTTCCACAAAGCTAATAATTCTAGAATGCCTAAATAATAAAACTTTTTTGTGGTTTAAAAGAAGGTTGGGATAAAACTTGGCATGGTCATAGTCCTATTTTGAACTAGGGGTCTAAAATGTATAGTTTCTTTTAGGAATAATAGGCAAAATAGGAATATTTGTATTGCTCATGAATTCTTTGCTTCAATCTGACTGGCACTAATTTTCCCTTTAAAAATGACACTTTTTTTTCAGTTTTGTACTATTTGTCCTCTTTTAATATGGCAACTCATTACTGAACCTAGAATATATCTGTACCTTGGGCTCAGATGTGCTAGAGTTTAATGGGACAAATATGTATGATTTCTCTTCTAATTAATTTGGCTGTTATTTTTAATGGGAATATTTAGGAACTAATTACAAGTGTAATTTGTAGAAGGCTTTTTCTTTTGGAATTTCCTATTAAGAATGAATAATACATTGAATAATGGAGGTACAACAAACAGTTCTAGCTTGGACCTAGTAATTTTTGCTTCACTTCTGTTTGCCTGCTGTAGTTCCATGTTATTTAGTAGAGATAGTTATTATAGTGCTCAGTGTATTATATGCTTTGAATGACAAGAGCTATAATATATAATCTAGTAGTTGACTTAGAAGTAGGTTTTTTATTGCATATTTGCCATAGGGGACAGCAAATCTACTGTAGGAATAAGGAAAACAGTGGTTGATGTAACAACAGATTATATGGTTCTTCCCATTTACAGCAGCCAAAGAATGTAATTTTGTTAAAATGACTCAGATTTTGAACTTAGGAGAAGTAAGTCTTCTGTTTGATAACTAAATGCACTGCAATGAGAACTGCAACACAGGAAAGAGAAGGGCAACCAGCAGTAGATGAAGTTGTGTGTCACGAAGCCACCAGGTTAGGAGCAGCTTCAGTGAATTTATTAGTTTTGGTAGAACAATGTGAAATAAATAGGCACTTGCTTAATAAAAATCCTGTGTACACGTTGTAGAAAAGAGCCATTATTAATCTGTGTAATGAAACGAGTCAAATTCTGCTGAACAACTTTGTATTCCTGCTGATATTGAACATTCATCTCCAACTGTTTCTAGTTATTCCTCGAGTCTGAGGTGGTAAAGTGCCAGGAAAAATTGAGTGATCTGTAAGGAAAAAGACTCATTAGAATATGGTACTTTCTCCATTTCCCAGGTTTTGCAGGGGTGTTTGTGCCATTATTTTTCCCCCGAGTGTTCATCTCAGTCATAGATATCTCAAGCTATTGAACTTGTTTGTTGATGAGTCAGCCAAACCTTTCATGGCAAGGTTGTAGAAAGGAGAGACACATTTACTGAGGGACCTGTAGCTTTGTTGAAGTACCACAGAAGACTTAATTTTTACCCAATAAATGGATGTATTTCATTTTACTGTCTGATCCGAAGAACACCACTTCTAACTAAATGTGAAATTACCTCCTTGCCACATCTCTCCTTGCATTAAATGTAGGACTGAGGATTTAAGTGAGCTCAAGTAATATGCAAGACCAATTTTTGCCCCATGAATTACACTTTCAAAGCATGTAGTTTGATTAACAATAGATTTAGGCCCAGTCATGGTGAAAAAGCTTTAAATTGGAAGCATTGGATATTGTTAAAATTATTGGATATTGTTAAAATATCCAATATTGGAATATTGCAATATTTCCAATTCCAATACTTTCTAATTATTGGAAATGGTTAAAATTAATGAGCACTTTTCTTTTGACTTTATAGTGTTTTGGATCAGGTTATCCATTTCTGTATACATTATAAAATGTCAGGTGCCATGAATTAACTCAGTGCCATGTTTGTCATGTTTGTTGTCATGTTTGTCCCTTGAATCTCCCAGCATGTTTGAAAACAGAACTCCTGTTTTGTTTTATCTGTCCAGAAATGACTTCACACTCTTTTAATTAAGAGCAATAGAAATATGATTTTCTTTAATGGTCTTCTGGAACAACTGTTAGAACTTCAGCTGGTGGTACCATAAATTGAATGTGATAAAAGAAAAAAGGGGGGAAATGGGCACCTTATCTGTTTTTTATATGCATGTCTGATGTTACTTAGTTTGTCTTGTGGCTTGTACACATACAATCAAATATAACACACATTTCAGTTGTATATTATGAACTACAGGTGATAACTGTCTGTTGTAGGAAACAATGAACCTTAATACAACATCAGTGCTTACACATGGATGTGAATTTTTCCAGGATTGTCCTTTTCTCTTGATTTTTTTTCAAACCAGGTAAGAGAAGATGTGCTATACTTATATATGTGTCTAAAACCACTAATAAGGTGGAAGTTTTGAGGTTTTTTTTCTGTGTATTTAAGTGATGGAAACAATTTTTTGTCAGTCATAATGACACTTTACAGTATTCTTAAGTTCTTAGTTTATTTTGGGTTGTATTGCCTAGTTTTCAGTCTGTCTAGCTCAATGTCCACTGTCAATACATGCATTTACAACATTAATCATAAGAGAAAACCAGATCTGTAAGTAAAGAGGGGATCATGGCACATGCTATCATATAACAAAATGCATTCAAGGGAGGCTATCAAAAATGCAGTAAAAATGGACTGTAGAAATAGGCAAAGTATTGAAATACTTTGTAAAATTAGAAAGTAGGGTATGTTTAGGGATCTAAACATATCAAATTGAACTGCAGTCTGGTATTATCCACTACCAAAGAGTAGACTGGGAAGAGTCATTTCAGAGTTTCAGTAAATAGAGTAATACAAACAACATAATTGAAGTTGGAAAGATAAGGGAGGGAAATAGGCAGCAGAGATCACTGCCTCGTTTGATTTAGGATTATAGCACATACTGAAGCTACAGGGGTGCTAAGACAAAATAATGTCAAAAATGCCAAGTTTGGTAAAACCAGAGAATAGTGTGCAATGCCATAACTTGGATGGGAAATGCTTGAGAGATCCGAGGTTTGGCACTATTTAAAGCAAGAATTTTAAATGCAAAATTAAGGGACCTTGTAATCAATGTATGAGTAAAAGTAATCCTAGTGAATGATGGTGTGATGAGAAAGATGGTGCCCACAACTTCTCTTAAAGTCTGTTATTGTTTCCAAGTGTGCAGACCTTCAGAAAAAGGAACACATATGAGTAAAATTAGGCTGAAGATGGAGGCTGTATGTTCTGAGGCTCTCATGAAAACCATATCTAAGAGTAAATTTTTTCTGATTTGCAAACTGTCTCAATTGTAGCTAGCTGATCCCATTCCTGAACAAAACAGCCTTTTCCCAATATAAATATCATATTGCTTTTTAGGTGTTCTTTGTGTTGCTGTGTCTCTGAAAGAAGCTGACAGTTCCCAGATCAGGTAAATGAGCTCCTGTGTGATCTTGCAGTCCCTTTTGATACAGAGCTCTTGTAGGAAGAAGGTGACATGTTTAAACAGTACTGCTGCATTCTGGTGGTCTTTGGCTTTCAGGATCTACTTCAGCAACTTGAAGTAGTTTAATGCTGCCCACCTAGACCTGAGCCTAAATTAAAGATGTGTGCCTAAATATTGGCAGTAGTAATGATGAGATAGTTCTTGATACTGTAAAATACTGGGACTGGGTGTAGTACCCTTT